CAGATTGGCTTGGTGGTCTCCTGGTGTTCTACAAAACAGTGTCGGTGGCTTTTCATCTCCTGGCTGACTGACCAGTTTGATAGATGGCCATATTCTATCAGAACTCGGACATTTTGCCTTGAGCGAGCTGGACTCGGTCTGTAAGCAGTTCTATTGAGGGTCGTGAGCCGGCTGTGTCCCTGGACTTTGCTGGCCAGATGGAATTGATCTTGGAAAAAGCTGATGAATTGGCTCAGCGGCATTTGTCCACACCATTTTGTCCGACTGGATTCACCACCTTGAGAGTACCAGCAGACATTAAAGCAGATGGATAATTGTTATCGTCTGCCTGTTCCTTCTGTTCCCAAAACAACTGATTACAGAATCTGGGTCTCCCCGACAACAGCCTTGATCTGTTGACTAAATTCTTTCTGGCTGGATCTTTTCGACAAGGCTCTGCCCCCTCCCTCCTCCCTCACCCGTCTGATCTGGCTCCTGAGCAGGCTGAGGCCACACAGAAATGAACAGTTACCATCAATATTCTGAACTTTTGGCTGCGCCGGCTTTGGGGACTGGATTCTTCAGGCCCACTAAACTCACTTACTCCCCTGGCTAATAAACTTGCCTTATGCAGAGTTTTTTTTTCATAAACACCATAGTGTGTCACAGTGTTGATATAATATGATGTTTTGCTTTTTTCCTCATCTTCCCTTGTGTGGTTTTTCTGTGTCCAAGAATGGTGCCACGGCAGGCAGCCTGTTACTGCAGCTCCACTGTTTTGAGCTGCTGTAATGTTCAAATTTCCCCACTGTGGTTTCAATAAAGTTTTATCTTCTTATCTTATTGCCAAGAAGCTTGGGCTAGGCAATAATTCAATAACAATATTTATCGTTATGGACACATGTTCAATATCAATAGAAAACATATGCGATATATCAATAATTTCACCAGGTATTAACTGCTAATGATTGATAACTTTCTGATAAAATACAGTAGGGCCTTTCAGCTAAACAACACCAGGAAAGCTAAGATTCACCTTCAAAATAAAAGCTTCAAGCTGTTAATAGACAAAAAAATGCCCACTAAAAATTGCTCGTGCTTTATTTTGAAATGGTAAACCGGGATTTTTTTCTTCCTCTTGTCGGCACATTAGCTGGACTGGTTCACCATCATAGGGTTAATATGAAATTTATTATTGATTTAGGATGCTGCTACACTGAAATGAGGCATCTAAAAACTGAAGAGGGTGTCAATAACAAGCCCCAGCAGCTAAAAGCCTGCAGCTAGACAAGGTAAGCTAACAAAAAACCTGTGGAGTAACGTGCAGCAGCATGATTCGCCTCATGACTTATAAAAATAAAAAAAGAACGGCGTGGAGTGAAAGGAGAAAATGGCGCAACCGCTTGAGAGGAAACTGTGGTCGAAAGAGTAAAGGTCACTTCACCTGTTTGGCATCATTTCAGATATTTTAAATTCGACAAGAATCCGAACAGAACTAGTCAATAATTATCAATATGAACAGATATGAAACTTATATCGTGAAAAGTTTTTCAGCCATATCACCCAGCCCTACAAGAARTGATTTAACAACAAAGAAATAATCTTCCAAACACTAATTTCAACACGTTTTTTAAGCTAAGATGCTATGCAGCAAACCAAAAGATAAATTAACAATTTACTGATGGAACAATTAAAACAAACATGAACGTTTACAGARGATAAAATACATTCTGACACCAGATTAACACATTTTCACGCTCATGAGCAGAAACATAACGCAGCCTGAAGAATATTAAACCCATTGATCTGCTCACATACAGGATCACAACAGASCAGCAGGAAAATGGATGTCAACTTTCATTACTATCATTTCATAARTGCAACACCTGAGTGAAGTTGGCCCCCCCACCTTCTTCAAATCAGACAAAATTGGTGTCAAACGTTTGTGCTA